TGGGGAGGGGAATAAGAATTTAGTTCTCGTTGTGCAGTATCCTTATAGAAGGGCTGTAACTCTGATGATGAGCAATCAAAATATCCCAGCACAGGGTTCAGAAGACTATATATGTGGGGCGGGGGGGGGGGGACATTTGTAATCCCAGGTACATTGCCAATACCAAGTTAGGATATGCAGACCAGCATATCATAACTTGGTATGTTTCAGTTATGTTTGATTACAACTCCCAACATGCCCAGCCACACTGAAAGAGATCCAGGCTGGGCAAAGCAGCTATAGACAACGCTGAACTAAATGGACCAATGATATTGATAATTAATAAGAGGAAGGAATTGTTTCAGGATTGCCAATAAAACCAAGCAATTAAAAAAAAAAAAGCAGGCTGGCTAGATTCGTTTGTGTGTGTGTGTGTATTCAAATCAGAAAAATAAAGCATAAGCTTTTCATACTTCTCAGCAGTTCTGTTTGCTTTTAATGATACATACTTTAAGTAAATAGCCAGCATCTATACAGAGTTCTGCTCTGAACTTTCCCTTTTCCTCAGAACTCCAGATCATTGCCCTTGAAGCCCACAATCTCTATCTACGGACAGAAAACAAAATGCTGGCACTTCTATACTGAAACCAGTAGCAGTTTGTGGACATTTCATTTTTCATCTATGGAGAAAGAAGTATTATCCTCCCTTTTACATATATTAGGAATATCTATATCTTGTTCTGCAACTTCTTTCAAGCTTCCCAATAACCTTAAGTGCATTTACTTGGAAAAGAACTTCTACTCAACCGGACATAAAGAAGAAGGAAAGGGAGAGAAATACCAGAAGCATTTAAGGCAATATGGAAAAAAACAGAGGCTTCAGTGGTATTTGATCCAGTCCTGTGAGGTCTCACTCTCTCTCTGAACTTCTGAGAAGTAAACATAATCTGCTGATAAAAGAGAGCTGTGTAATTCTGAGCTCAGCTGACTCAGTCAACTTGCCAATCTGACTTTGATGTTCAAGAAGAACATGCAGTGGTGTTGGGATCCAAGAGATCTGTTCCTAAAGAGTGGACCATTTGAAGGAAAAATGCAGCAACTTCCCTTCTTCTGTATAACAACAAATCCCAGTGGCAAACATCTGGATTGGGATCAGAACAACCCCCAGATTCAGGTAGGGTTAGATCAGAGGCATTCAAGTTTCCTGAGTGCACTTGCCCAGCCAGAAGGAAAAATCTGGAGAAACTTCTAAGACTAGCTTGTTGTCAATGACAGCTCTTCACTATGTGCCACTTAATTAATCCTTAACTTAAAAGCAATTCTTAAATTACTTGGCTGATTTGTGTATTTAGCTGATTGCATAAGTGGCTAGTCTATTAGCAGCACAGGAAAACAGTCACAGAAGACTGAGGTTCAGCTTCCAAGATAGTTAGTTACAGAGCTTCCAGTACTCACAAGTTGAACCACTACCTGTAATGGGCAGAAGTAGGCTTGAGGAACAGGAGGAAGAGCTGCAAACAAGACAGTGGTCAGATAAAAGAATTCTGAGTCCAGGCCAGAGCTGTAACCTGAGAAAGCATCTCAGACAAGACCCTCCCTAGTTCTCACAAAGATAAAGGGGCGGGGGGAGGAGCACATTCAGACTTGTAAGATTCTGCTACTATAATCTTATAATAAAAGTAGTATTTGCATGCATGACTTTGGTTTCCTAGTCTGGTCTACCTTGGAGGGCTGACACTACCCTTCCTGTGGGCTTCCACCACACCAATCATGGCTTAGAGCAGTTATAAGACCATATTTGCTGAAACAAGAGGGGCAGACATCCTCACAGTCAACACATGGGAGCAGCACAGAAGAGTAAAGGGAAGCACAGGATCTGTAGCTCACAAAGGAATATGAAGGACCTCTGGTGAATGATATTACTAAGTTCCATAGCACTGAGGATCATATGCCAACACTTTTCTTCTATTTTTTTTTTTTTTTAGGCCAGCACAGCTTG